ATAACCTCGTTTGATGCAAGGCAATCGCCCTGATAATGAATGCAGCAAGGACATCTGAAACACTGGTAAACTACCAGACTACACGGCGGCACAACCCAGAAGATAGCCACCTTCGTACTCGCCGCTGTGAGAACCCCAAATCCTATTTTTCAACATCCATTAGCAAGAAGGTTTTATTATGCGTTGCAAGTACCCTGGGCCCATATGACTTCTATAGGATTAAGCTCACAATGATACGGTGGAAAATAAAGTATTTATTATTTTGTAATTTGTCCATTTCGTCAACCACATTTTTATCACAAATACGTATTTTGAACATCACCACCTTCAGTAGCTCTTTATTCTCCATGGAGATTTCCTTTGATCTGAGCCAGTCTAAAATATATTTTTGTCCAAGATGTAGCTAACGTTTCTGTCTTCAGTGTGCTGTTAATTACAGTAATACAGAGCCAAGACTAGGTAGTATTTTCTTGAACTACTCCATGGAGTCCTATTCAATGTCCTTAAAAAAAAAAAGCAACCTTGGCAGTTTTATTCGTCCGATCTCGCCATTTTCCTTTGTATGGCCTGCATAAACTTAAGTATCATCTAGATTGGTGGTATTCAATCTTTTTTGTTCGCGTACCCCCAGATATAATTTCTCCTCAACTTGTACCCCCAAAGTTGTTGGTGTATAATTCAAGTTATACATAGAATATAATCTACATCTAAAATAAATTAAATAAATTACATTACCGATTATTCAGTGTTTATCATAAAATAATATGTATTTTTTTAAATTTCACATACCCCCTAAGATGTCTTCGCGTACCCCAGGTTGAATACCACTGTTCTAGATAATAGACTGTTGTGTCCTCCGCACGATAGCGTCTAATTTTCTAACATCTCAAACACATCTGCGACGGTACAACACAATATCATTTCCTTCTCGGAAACAATTGTCTCTTTCTTTGGTTGCTTGCGTTCTTTAAAAGTTCGTGCATATTTGAAGCTGCCCTCTTGAAATTAGTGAATTCAGGAGCACCGTTCAAAGCAGTCAGGATCTGTCTAGTATTTCACCGATAAAGTACAAACTACGTAGTACTCTCCTAATGACACCTATATAAAATTCATCAATGTTATTTATTTTGTTCTTCCTTTTCCTTTCAGCATTGCCATTCCCATCGAAGAGGCCGCTTTTACTGCTGTGTGAGGTTTGTCTTTCAACAAAATCTTCTACATATTCATAACTGAAATTTTTCACCCCTATAGAAACCTCTCCCTCAGCACGTTTCTTGGCCAGGGAAACTTTAAACACCCTGGTTGAGGGTTTTCAGCCATGGTGAAGAAATGAAAGGCTTCATTTACCGGAAGTAAAATATTCGAACCATAACTTCAAATAACGACACACACAAAATACATTATGATTTCTACAGTGTGTTAACGCACTACAGTTATAATTAACAGATACACCGCGTGAACCGAAAGAAGACTTCTCCAGGCCGTCAGCCAACAATATGCAAGCACGCAGTCTCCTGACGACATTCTACATGCGCTTCGTACTTATCCCGAATGCAGGGTAGAGGATAACGCTTTCCTCTCACCTCCTATCAAGGTGTAGTGCCTTTTAGGGGGAAAATTCATATATTACTAGGGCCAGAGCGGGTAGACGTAAAGGTAAATTTGTCTCTGGTACTTAATTAAGCACCACGCCATACAGGCGTATGGGTGAGCGGACGAAAAGCTCCACATATTTTAACCTCAACACTAAAAGGAGATAAGCTGTTAGATTCACATCACACCCGCTTTACCCCTGATGATGAACCCCGATACCCATTAGATAGGAGTTTGGATAAGCCCTAGAGCCGGTCTGGTGATTTCTATTGAAATTAGTTCTTATAATCCTGAGTTATAATTTTCGTTCCAAAATATTATTAACAACAATAACAGCAATAGAAATGTTAGATTGGATTCAATATAACTTGCCTACTACCTATGGTTTCTTTATTTATTTAAATTTCAGACCACAAAGAAACAACTTGGCGGGTACAATATTTAGTAAGATGTACTTACCTCTATTTTTGTAGCACCTTATTTTATATTGGCAATATTAACTCGTCGAAAAATCTTATCAGCTAAGGGCAACATATACAAAATATACACGTTTCTACTAACACCTGAACAGCTGGTAGCTGTGCGACACCTCGACACTAAACTACTAATAAGTATCAGAGAAAACTATCCCTTCTCTACCTGAATACTCAACAACAGGCTTCCCTCCTGCACTGCGCCCTCTTGCAGGAAGCATCTCCTTTCATTACTAAGGCAAAGACGTCACGGTCGAGTTCTGAGGGGAGGGATTGAAAACCCCATACAGAAGACAGAATATACTACAAATAGAAAAACTAGAATTTCGAGTTTTAACAGCATATAATGTGTCTCTCTGTATAAGTTATTGATAAGAAAAGTTACCTGGCCTGTCAATTTTATGTCTAGGGTTCCAAGTTCTTACATCGCTGACCCTACAATGGAACGACCAGTAGGAGAAAAATGCTACTTCTGCATTGTACGCCGAAGAGGTTGTAACCTTCTGTTTTATAACGTCGCAGTGCACATGGATCGGACTGATTGTACAAAAATGTCTTTATCCACGGGGCCTAACGTTTCACTACTTTGCATCACTGATCACAGCTCACCTGACACTGATTCCCATGGAGTGCTCGGGTGGTCCAGTCAGGTAGAGAGGCTGTTGGTAGGCTGATGGGTCGTTCATCACCATGCCATCAGTGGGTTGACTGCCCATCATCTGGGGCTGTTGATAGGACGCCATGTTGCCTTGGGAGGGGTGTTGGTTGGGACCTTGCTGATGTTGTTGTTGTTGCTGCTGATGGTGAGGATTAATTGGAGGAATATCAAACTCCTCGTCACCAAAACTAGGTGTATGAAAGGTCTGCAACACAAAACAACAGAATTCCCGTCAAAGCGAGTAATCCACGATAAAATAATCTTCGAAATCTGGAAGAAAAGACGTCGAAAAAGAACTCTGAAGTGTAATGGTCTGTTATGGTCGACTCACACCACAATATCGATCTTCTGAGGTTAAAATAAATGTTAAAATAAACAAAATTATGGAAGTTTGCTCACTCCCATGTAGGCTATAGTTTATCATTTCTCAGTAGGATTTGAGGTTTTCACGGCAGAGTCTAAAGATGGCTGTCTTCCATAGTTATAATTTCTCCTTTTTTCCTACAACGGGTTGTAGATTCGGTTGAAATTGTGTCATTAATCCGGGAAAAAACATTCTTATTATGACAACCACCATCAATATGATGACCGGGTGTAAAGCCAACCCCTGGAATGTCATAAAGTTATATAAAATACAGATACCTACCTGAAAGAATGGACTGCCCAAAACAGTTGTAGTATTCCTACCCAATGTGTACAAGACATGCTTTCCGCGTGATCAAATAACCGAAGCGTGAAGCTGACCACTCATGTTCAGCTCCTGCCAAAACTAAGAATGTATGGGGGCTATACCTCAATTCCAACAGATGTCTTCCAGGCGCGGTGTTTAATTAATCGTAGGGACAAATTTACAAATATACGGCAGTATATGATCTCTGACAATTCATTCATCCACAAGTCTTCTACTTCTTCACACAAAATATACTGCTTGTTGAGTTGTATCGGAGAGGGATTGAGGAATACTTGTTACTGTAAAAGCGATTACATTTTTCACTCTCAAGTGCATTATGCCTGTACAGTCTCAACAGTTTAAATCAGAAACTAAACAGCTGAGAAAACTACGAACTCCAGCCAGCTCCTAAGTAATTGTCAGTATTAATGTATTATTGTTGTTCTGGACTGAATTAATCTGATACAAGACAGGGAGCAGTGGTGGGCTTTTATGAGCACGGTCATAAACCTTATTATGGTTTCATAAAAAGCTGGGAATTGTGTCCAGCTTAGAGACCATTCGTTTTTCAAGAACTCTGGTATATAGAGATTATTATCTATTGTTGTTGTACGAAATGAGGCTCTTCCCTTAAATTAACACTTGCTTGGATCTTCAGAAACGAGCACAAGTTGCCACTAAATGTTTTCAGGACGTACCATACATAACGACAAAAACTGTAGTGTGTATGACAAATGGATCACACCGTAGGATCGGTATACCTACAAACGATACAGGTGAAGTTGTATAGAAAAGCTGTGCCGCTACACGAGGAGAGGACGAATAGCTCCTACCCATTTCTAACCTCGGCACTAAATGGAGGTGAGCGGTCAGTGTCATGCCCCGGCGGCGCCTTACCCCCCGGGAAAGCACTCCGGAGGCTGCGTGGGCCCGAGAGCCGGTCTGGACTAGAGAAAAAATCCTATGCCTCCGTCGGGGATCGAACCCCGATCGTCCAGCCCGTAGCCAGTCAGTATACTGACTGTGCTACCCCGGATCCTAATGGACGTTTCGCCCCACGTATTATTAAACTCGGAAAACGTATGGGACAAGTGGCCAACTTCATGCCCCGGCCTCTTTATCTCCTAGTGCAAAACCTCGGAACCGGCTAGATACGAGAGGAAAGTCCTACCCTGCCGGAAGTCGGAACCCCGATCCTCCTACCCGTAGCCAGGTCTATGTACTGGTTATGAAGAAAACTGCTTCAAGTGTCATCCGGAAATTTATTACAAGGAAGATAGCTGAATTCTGGGTTGTTTCGCCGTGTAGTATGGTAGAAGTTTACCGACGTTTAAGATATCCATCTTACCTCGATCATCAGGACAATGATGATGTTGATGATGGAAAGACCTCTGAAACGTCGGTAAACTTCTACCAGACTACACGGCGCAATAGCTCAGAAGACTCTTCAGACTCATCGCCGCGGAAACCTTAAATTCTACTTAACTGATTTTAAGATTTACACACACAGAAATACTGTACTTACAACGGCTGCCATATTTAGTATGCTACTTTAATCATGCAGTACACCTCGTGTTACAAGAAAGATGGCAGGTGAATGAAGTTTTATCAAAACTGGCATATATTTAGCTTAAAACTTGACTGACTAATTAACTAACTAGATGGCTTACCAAACCCGAAGGTTCATCACCGAATTAACCAAAGCCCTCCACCGGACCCTGTCCTGGGCCAACAAAATCCAGTTTCCTTCAACTCCTATCTCCCATAGATCCCGCCTGACATTATACTCCCATCTACGTCTAGGTGTCCCCAGAGGTCTCTCCCTTCAGGTTTCTCAATCAGTACCCAGTGTACACCTTTTGTACCATCCATGCGCGCTACATGCCCAGCCCATCTCATTCTTCTCGACTTAATCACCCTGACAATACTAGGGGAGGAGTACAAATTTTTAAGCTCATTATTATGCAGTTTTCTCCATACCCCATCGTCTTCCCTCTTAGGCCCAAATATCCTCCTCAATACCCTATTATCAAACACCTGCAATCTGTGTTCCTCCCTCTGAGTGAGAGACCATGTTTCCCACCCATACAAAACAACAGGCAATATTATTGTTTTGTATACTTTAATTTTCAGGTTCTTAGAAATCAAACGTAAAACTTGACTAATTTTAAAAACTATGTTTCCAACAATATAATCCTAATAATAATTTTAATTACACTATGAATTATCTCTACATATGTCTGAACACGCATTTAGTCAATATTTAGCAATAATAAATAAAACTACGAATTTGAAAGCAAAACTAAATAATTAAAAATTAACGATCGAGCAAAGTGAAGTATAGAAACATGTCCAGTTCACACAACACTCGTATGAATTCATCTTGTATATGACAGAAGTATAAGCGGCAGAAGAACCTCAGATATGCAGCACAGAGCTTGAAATGTTAGAGGAATCGATTCAAACAAATCGGCGTGCCTTCGAGAGAGAACGGATGATCATGTCGGACACTCGTATTTTTAAACGATTTAAAAAGCAAGCCAGTGCAGCAGTGATGCGTCTTACTTGTATTCGATAGGTACTCAGTTCAAATCTTAGTATATAATTACAGGGTATCGTGATGTTTCTTCAATATATTATATTCAGTCTGTAAATAGATTGCGACCATCTTCTTCGGCTCACTATCTATGACCACATTCGCATGCAATTCGACGCTACATAACTAACCTCTATAGCTAAAGAGAGTTGCGTTGGTAACAACGTAACAACTACTCAGTCAACACAAATATCGGTAGCCCTGCATTTCCTCGTCATATTTTTGTTTAAAATGTTCACGAACATGTCACAACCCACCGAAATACATCTGTAAGCGACAGGACATATTTTAGAAACAACGCATTAACAAACAGTTTACCTTCACATGAGTTCAATAAAGAAACACAAAGAATCCTTTTTCTTGTTTCCTCGCAAAAGCCCGAATGAAAAGACAACTTATTTGTGGTTTATTTAACGACGGTTTTTCAGTAACTCAGACTATATAGCGTCGAAGAACACAAAACAGAGAACGGAGGCGCAACTGCCAGAAATAATTTAATGGAACTGCTACCCTCACGCTTCTTCTAGAGAGAAATTTTGTGGCCTAACACTGGTCTGTCCTAGCAGAAGCGGAAGAACTTTCCTAACATGCCACAGTTAGTACTAACGACTTTTATGTAATAATGATAACAATTTCTTCCTGACACGCCGATACAACATTCCAATTACTAGCTTCGTAACACAAAGAAGGTAGTTAGGTCTTCAAGCATCTTTATTGAGTATGTGGAATGAATGTTCGACGTTTAATTACTACACCTATAATTTATTATTCTCATTAAATGTCAAACGAAATACGTTTCTTAGTCCGCCGCGTTGGACATACGTGACTAGACATAACTTAATGGAAACAGATACTATACAACGGCCAAATGCTTAATGCAAAGGGGATAACTGAGGTGAAACCACAGCAATCTCTATGCGAGGGAATACATGGCATTCGTCGATATCGGGAGGTACTAGGTTCAAATATCGGCCCGGAAACTGATACCTTGATGTCTAGGTGTTTTGCTCAGTCCCACCAATGAACACTGTTCTTATTAAGTAAAGAACAAACAAAAGGGTTAAAATCTCATTAACGTCCTGGTATCCAAAATTCATGCCAGACAACTCACTCAGGAAAGTTACTGACGAAGATTGTATGACCAGGTTCAATTCCCAGCAGGGGCACCATTTTTATTTTCGCATCTAGACCGAGGCTGGGGACTATTTAATTCTCCTATACAATAGGGTAAATCGACCGAAGCCCTAAGCTGATCAATGACTCCATATAAGAATGCGTGAAGCTCTGCCTCATTTCCTTCTACACTCCTTCATGGGGTGGTGCTTAGTTAAGCCCTAGGAAGAATTTTAGCTTTGTTACCTCCGAGAACAGCAAGCAAATTTGAATTGTTCTCCGCATTAAATATTTCGTGCAAGTCTAAACGTATCAGAATATTAGCACATGACAATATAGTCAAATATGTCCGAACTTGTTTGAATTTGAAGCCCCTCAGATACATCGTAATGAAACCAGTGAACC